ATAAACAGTTTAATACGGAACAAGGAAATGATAAAAAGTTCCATTTTCTCGATATCGCAGTAGAACGAATGAAAGATAGACAGTTCAACGTTCAGTCTATCGAGAAAAAAACATGGAATGGGATTTATCTCAATTTCAATAACTTTCATCCAATCAATTACAAAAAGGCACTTGTTAAAACACTGTTTTACAGAACAGAAATAATATGTACTAACGACACACCGATACACAAGAGGAAGTTATGAATCCCGCGAGCGGGATCGTGGATGCGCACTGCTGAGGAGCCCCACAATGGGACGAAACGGCCGTCCAGTGCTTCCAGGTTTCCAATGGTTGTCTAACATCAATCGGTTCATGATCTCAATAAAAAAAACTTAATAGTCTCCACAACCCCTATACTAGTGTTTAAAGAATAACGGATACCCACTGAAATTTATTGAGAAATATGGAAAACGTGAAGATTTAAAAAAAACCCAAAGAAACTACAGCAAATAAAAAAACCTTCTTCTATTCAACTTAAATTCAAAGGTGGTGATGCCACAGGGTCAATATGAGACTAAAAACTGTATTGATTGTCCTGTCCAAAACAACATGTTCTTTAACACAATCGAAGGTCGATAGGTATCCCTTTCATGTTACCACCAATTGTGTGTATAAATTTACAAGTATCTGTCAAAGCAGTTACATTGGTAGAACAGAACATTCGTTTCAAAGAACATATTCAGAAACGTTTAAGGTCAAATGGATTAAAAATATTTAGCAGTGCCATCCTAAGACAATCTCCTTGACACAGGACATTAAGTCAATACACTGAAGTATTTCAAGATGATTAATAAACAATGAAACTCTAACCTTTTGAAATTTGTTGAAGCGATAGCGATCAAACGTCTAAAATCAGATCTATTTATCTAAAAAGAAACAGTAATAAGTCTTTCTTTGCCCTGGTAACATTAATCCATCTTTTTTATTCATTACATCATTCATTATTTCAACTCTTCCTGAAGTTTAAATTACATATATCATTGTCATTTTTCTTTAATTCATAACTGACTGATTTCAATCCATATCTTTCTTTATAACCATTATTCTATTTTTAGTTACTTCAATACATAATCCTCTAATGTTTGTTAACTCTATAAGTTCTAGTCAGTATTTCAGTGTTCTGGAACTTTCCTTCCCAAACTTTATTTATCCGAAACAAACAATCTTTTAATGAAATCTTCGTTACATCATGATACACACATAATCATCTCTAATCATCATCGTAGTTACTATAAGTATGCCAATATCTGTAATAACATTGATTTTAGGTTGTAAGCAGCTAATGAGAACTTAACGAAATAAAAATGAATCCATTTATTATTCTGCACTAATCTTCATTCAACACATGTATCGTAATATTTGAGACTTGCCAGATGGGAATAAACCTGAGTCAAATTGTTGATATTTACATTGAGACTCGAACTCAGTGCCTATCGTTTCAAATAATGATTCCAGATAGCTACTAACTTGTTCAACAGGTATTATGCCTATTCATAATAACTGTGATGCTGGTATACATTCAACTGGAAGATTCTAAGTAGTATGAAACATGCATCTTGGATCCCATTACTGGTTACAAATGAAGATGAATTCACACTTTACACTATATATATATATGGTTTCCATTTACAGTGTTCTGTTTAATATTTCTCACCTACAATTTGGTCTTGAATTAACTAATAAGTGTGCACACTTACATGATTTATCTATATTTGCATAGTCTATCAACTGGATAGCTGTAGGGTGTGAGACAAATATCACCAAAAGCAAATGGATAATGATTATATAATATCAAGGATTGATTAGAGTTAAAAAACATACATCATAGGATTCAAGCTCACTGAGTCAGTCAGTCATTCAACGACGTAGAACTTCATACATACGTACATCAGTTCAAGTTGCCATGCCACATTAGCACAGAGATACATTTGTCCATTCAAATCCCGTAGTGGTAGAGGTAGTAAGAGTATAAGCAGTAATCGGACAGATTAGGGTTTGAAGATGTTACTCAAGGAGTATAATCCAGTGAAATAAATTTGGAAAGAGATGAAAGGGACATGAAGAATTCAGAAGATTAGAATTTGGGAGAACACAAAGAGTGGGTGCACTTGCACCATTGCAAACGATTTTGTGTCATGTCATTCAAGGTCTCAAACCATCGGTTGCTATCACCTCGCGGATCCCAACCAGGTAGTCTACACCTACTAACACGGCTCAGTCCACTTGTCAGTGACTTCATGGATTTGTGCCATGTTTTGGTTTGGCCGCCCCTAGCTTTCTTCCAACCTACTCCTATACCACTGAACATAGCACGTCGAGGCAGTCGGTCGTTGGGCATACGTAACACATGTCTCGGTCATCTCAACTGATGAAGTTTCACTACTTCATCAATTGATTTGCCATCCTTACCTAGTACTCGTTTCCTAACAACTAAATTACTTACTCAGTGGTTCTAGGATATACGAGCAATGTTTCGAAGACACCTATGATCGAATGCTAGTAATGTACGAATATCTTCTACTCATACCGGTCATGTTTCACAGCCATGAAGTAGGACGGAACGAACTGCTGCGCAGTAAACCCATCTTTTGGTTGGTAGACGGACATCTCGCCTACGCTATGAATAACGCACGTTGGCAAAGGCTATTCGAGTCTTCTGTATCCGTGCTGAGATTTCGTCACACACCATACCACAAGGTCTGGTGAGACTCCCAAGATAAGTGAATCGGTCAACTACTTCACTCTCTATCATTAGTTCAGGTGTCGATGCAACCCAATCCTGAAGCAACATTTTGCATTTCGAGGGGGATAATAGCATCACGAACATGCTTGGATTGTGGCTTATAGCAGTCAGACGACTGCATTTTGTCAGGGTCTTCACCAAACAGAAATATATCACCGACATATTCCAAGTCAACAAGTCAATTTATCGATAAAAGTCCAACTCATAGAAACTTAGATGAGGAAATTGCTATCTCTTAAAGTACATCAACCACAAGAATGGAGAGAGTGGACAGCCCTGACGAACACCACTTGAGGTAATCAATTTTGATGACATTTCGTCATAAGCTCTCACTCAGCTAGTTGTGTTCGAGTAGAGAGCCTTTATAAGGTTAATGTACTTCTTTGGTACTCCTTTCAGTGACAAACACTGTCATAGAACCTCACGATCAACAGAGTCAAATGCCGCCTTAAGGTCGAGAAATATTACTATTGTGTCTATGTTCTAGGACCTGACGTAGTGTGAATATTTGGTTGGTACGGCCACGTCCAGGTCGGAGACCGGTTTGGTTTTCTCTAGTCCGCTCTTCGTGAGCTTTAGTTAGGCGTCGAAGTATTATTGAAGCTAATATTTTAGACACTATATTAGTCAAACTGATTCCTCTGTGACTGTCACAAGAGGACTTTTGTCCTTTCTTATAGACTGGCACAATCAGAGATTGAGACCAGTCAGATAGGATTACGTCCAGTTCCCAAATTCTACGTAAGATCTCAGTCAATATCACTGCTAATACTGGACCGCCTTCCTTAAAAATCTCAGGGGTAAACCTGTCAGAGCCTGATGATTTGAAGGTTGATCGCTTGTTGCGAATTCTGAACGTCCTTTATTAAATCTTTAGTGAGGTCGAAAATGCACACAGTTGAATAGTCCCATAATAAGACGAAACAGCTGTTTAATTCTTCCTGATTTTTAGTAGTTGTCATATTACAAGTTCAACGAACTCCATAACCCCTCTACTGAAACCTCAAACTTAGTTATCTCTTTTCGCATTATATATATTCAAAGTTCAATCTTTTTATTGTTAGGCTTTTCAGTAGTTTATTATTGAAACAATCCATCATTTAATGCATTACATAATATCTCATTAACTAATTGACTTAATTATTTCTTTTCTACATTACCTTAACTTCATTTATTCCAAGAAAAGATGGATAGTGTCTATCAGTGAAATACAGGATGTGCGTTCGATTCTGTTTAGAACTAGTCAGCTGGATGTACCTGCATCTTAGAGTTGATGTCCACTCTGTGACTCGAACCAAATATCTTTCGCCACAAACGCCATCGCGTCTTGATAGCTACTTGCTTGTGCAGTGTGGTGAAAGTTAAATTCACTTGGGACTGTTTACTTTAATCTTCCCATTGATGTTTAGGACTACAATTGATCAGTCTCTTATTGGCATATGTGCATACTGTGCGCGTATTGTCTCGATGTTGCCGTAATTCACAAGGATTATAAGCAAAGATGGATATTGGCTAGCAGTGGAATCCAGGACGCGCGTTTCTTCCTATTTGGGACTCATCAGTTGGATGTACCCGATAATATCGAGGCAATACGCATAGTATGCACATATGGCAATAAGAGACTGATCGATTGCAGTCCTAATCATCAATGGGAAGATTCAAGTAAAAACAATGCCAAGGGACGTTCATTTATTCCAGTTTTTACTCTTGTGATTTTCATGTATTTGACCTATAACCCCAATCCAAGTAATTATAATTACATACTAAACATATCAACATTTACAAGCATTAATCAACTTATTTCACCACTCATAACTAGTTAGTATCAAAAAGTGGTTTTGTGGATATTATAGTAATCTAATAGTTGAGTTCACAAATCAATTGAAGATAGACCACCATGGAAAACCTGGAAGCACTGGACGGCCGTTTCGTCCCAGTGTGGGACTCCTCAGTAGTGTGCGTCTATGATCCTGCCCCGAGGGATTCGGACCCAGGACTTATAGGTCTCCCGAGCGAACGCATAACCTCTCGACCACTAAGCAGACATTAATTATTGCTTAGTTATGTATATGTTGTTAGAACTTGTGACCGCCGATTAGAGGGCAGTGAATTATCGATCGGAACAAGGATGCGTAAAACACGTGCGAGCAGCCTAGAGTCTTGATTGGTCCTGCTTTCCGCCTAGCCCAGCCAGTTAAGTCCAGAACACCAATCTCAGCCTCTGAAATATGAATCATTATATTTCAAACATACTGAGTTTATATACTAATCAAAGAGACCACAACGTATCAATAAAATATGAAACAACATTTATACAAGAATTAGCCAGATGTGACTGTGAATGAGGGAGGCAGTGACTAATAGATAGGGAATAATTCAAGAATAGAAAATCATATAATAATAGTCCATAGGTCAAAATAAAGCTTATGATAAGAGAGACATGAATAGTTTAGTTAATTAACAATTATACGATAAAAATATACGTATAGTATTGGTCCACAAATGGATCCCAAAAAATTACCACTCATTATTCTTATCGAGGCATAACATATGTATATATTTTTTCTGTTGCTCAGCTTCACTAAAACTTATCTAATTTTAAGGTGAACATGATAAATACAGAATTAATGGATACTTTAAACAATGAAAGACAGGCATGTATATATATGTCTTAATTGATTTTAAAATCTAGAGTGACTATCATTCTAAATAGCTGATATAAATGATCTTAATATATTGTCAGACAAGGCTGTCTACTATCCTCCTTCCTCTTTCTCCTGGTATTCTACTGGATTATGAAGACCTTGACATCTGAGGGTAAGCACGGAATACAGTAGACAGCTAGAGATTAATTAGATTTAGACTTCGGAGATAACCTGGCCCTTCTATCCCATATAAACGAACAAATGCAGATGAAGAAAACTAGTATGGTAACAGCCTCTGCATCAGTAGGCCTCAACCGAACCACATTTGATGGGGAAACTCTGGAATCTTCCACATACCTATCAAGCATCATCGATGAACAGGTAGGATCCGGTGCAGATGTAAAGGCAAAGCAAGAGACGTATTCCTACAATTCAAAAACGAATGGAACTCAAAGCAACTGTTTGTCAACAAATATCAAAGTCACAATCTTTAATACGAACGTAAAGACAGTCTTACTGTATGGAGCTGAAACGTGGAGAACTACTACAATCATCATCAAGAAGGTACAAGTATTTATAAATAGTTGTCTAAGCAAGATACTCAATGTCCGTTGATCAGATACTACCAGCAACAGCCTAGTGTGTGAGAGGACAAATCAGCTTCGAGCTGAAGAGGAAATTAGAAAGAGTTTGGAAGTGGATAAGACATACATTACGGAAATCACCAAGCTGTATCACGAGGCAATCCCGAACTTGGAATGGTGAAGGGGAACAGAAAAGAGAAACGCCGAAGAACAGACTTTGTTGGGAAATGGAAGCAAACATGAAAAGGATGAATAGCAACTGGAAAGGATTGCCCAGGACAGAACTCAATGGAGAGTGCTGTTGGGTGGACTATACTCCTTCATGAGGGATAATAGGCGTAAGTATTGTGGACTGAACCTCTGATTACAAGTTTTAGGATCACAGTCGCTAATCGTGTGCTAGATAGTTATTTTTCTACGTAATCGATGAGCCTACCAGGATTCTCACCAGTAAATCTATCAGTCACCCTTTTCCTTTTATAACACTCAAAGTTTATACGTTTTCAGTGTTGTACTTCATTTATAATTGATTGTCATATTGTATCTTAAAGAGTTTTTATCTAATTGTATACATTTCAGTGCCGTTTTGGACATCACATCGGTACGTAATTTATATAAGGGTGACAATTACATTATCGGATTCACAGAATAATAACATTAAACTACAAGTAGCGTCAGACTGAGATACAAGTCTTTTCCTGAATTCTATAAAAGATAGTTGGAATCCATGACTTCAGTAGAAATATAAATTCAATTTAATTTAAAATCTGTTGTAATTTATGATTGAGATCATGAGCCGTTAGACCACCTTTGGAAACCTGGAAGCACTGGACGGCCGTTTCGTCCTATCGTGGGACTCCTCAGTAGTGCGCACCCACGATCCCGCTCGCGGGACTCGAACCCAGGCCCTCTGGTCTCGCGCGCGAATGCTTAACCTACTGGGCCACTGAGCCGGTATCCAATGGTGATAGTGTCTAACATCAACCAATCCACGAAATTGGTCCTACGTTGTAGCTGACTGACCCCATTTGCTTAGAGCCACACACATACACACACTCCGATTTGTATCACATCACACAGCATTGGATAAAAAAACAACTAAACAAACATTTAAAAAAGCAAATGTACACTGTATGAAATTTGTTGTATATTTTGAGATGGTAATTGATGAACAATATTTTTTTTAAAAAAAAGATCACTTCATATAATATATGTGTACGCAGAATACTAGAATGAGAACATTATCATCATTGAAGCAAAATTAACAAATACATATATCTATATAGTAATACAACAATGAACGAACACAGAATGATTAGATCTATTCCAATGACCGATTCATGTAATTCATCATTCAAAACGAAAAAAATTCCAGAAGATGAATAAATATATTCCCATTAGATCATTATTAATGTCCATGTGACAAATGATCAAGACAAGTGTGTAAAACAAATATGATGTTACTATGTACTGAAAAGTTTATAAAAATGGAACAAAATTCATTTTTATAAATTACAAAAATACACATACGAATATTAAAAAAAGCAACAACATGACAAATGACAAAACACTACACACACCACAATGGTGAAATTGTTGATAGATGCATGACATTAATGAAATGATCAAAATAACCGGTTGAATAAGTATAAGACAATGGTGAATTACACATAAATGGTTATCTACACAATGATGGAATATTAGTAATAATTATTTCTTAAAGAATAAACATGTCTACCCGGTAGTAGTATACTCTCTTTCTCGCACACATACACAGTAATGACTGTTAGGAAAATTTTTTTTTAAATTCCAACAACTTTTCATGGAACATGAGAAACTGATACAGAATCTAAGAGAAGAATGTAAAAATTGGGCAGATTTCTTTTATAAAAAAATCAGTATAACAAATGTATTTTTATTACGATGTGGGTGTGTGTTAAATTTCGCAATTTTACTTCTTTGTGTCATTCGTGAAGTATTCCTTATATGTATCGAATAAAAATAACGAAGATGATGGTGACAATGAGAGAAAAAAGAAGAGAAGTGTAACTATGAGTAAACACACACACACACACAGAGTACCACTGTGTTGTATGACAGGATTAATTAAAGATTGTGTGAAAATGAAATTGGTCATTCGAAGGTGAAAGAGAGAAAGAGGAAAAATCTCTCGCTCAGATACACAATAGAAAAAGACAACTGATATGAAATGATCGAATGATTATTGTAAATATGTATGTGTAGAAATGAACAAGTAGATTATAAACACATATAACTAAATTACATTATTCATTGTTATTTCTGAAATAGATGAACAATACAAAGTTGGAATTATATAATCATAATGAATAGGTTCGTGGAAACATATAGGAGAATTGGATGTTTAGAAATTCTCAATTATTTAAAGATTGGTTAGGTTGGTCGAGTGTTTTAAAAAAAACAATCAATTTATGCTGTTTGTACTGCACGATAATAAGCGTTTGGATCACGCCCATTCACAGCACAACAAAGAGTCATTGCAAATATCAAACCAATCAGCTAGACGGAGATTTTGAAAAGAAGAAAAAAACAAGTGTGATGTGGATGTTAGTTATAATTATTAAGTTAACCAAACCGTTATAACTAGGAAAATGAAAGGAATGTAACAAACTAGATAACTTACTTTTAAGATATTATTACTCTTAATTACCTTTTGTATTTGGTGTGTTGAATCTTCCTATTGATGATTATAACTGCAATTGATCAATCTCTTATTGGCATATGTACCTCCTAAGAGGATTACCATAAGTTGCGATGGCGTTTGAAGCGAATGGTACACGGTTTGAGTCCTAGAGTGAACATCAACACTGGGATACAGGTACATCTAACTGACGAGTCCCATGTGGGATGAAACGCGTGTCCTAAATTTCACTGCTAGCCACCATCCATCTTTGCTTATTATTATTCCTAGTTTTTTATCCGTAGTTATAAACAGTTGGATTATTGGTTTCCTTTATTCGTCTAATCCTAAACTGTTATAATTTAATCATAAGCACAGTATTCTGACTTTTACCATGAATGCCTTACTTTTATTAACTATGGTATTCACTATTCTATTGTGCATCGTGGCCTACATGTGTACGCAGTTAGTTGAATACCTTTCGAGTTAGCACCCATCGTCTTATTCGGACGTACAGTTTTTCGACCACTGCCAACTAACCGGAGTCCTCCTAGCTGATCGTTAGTCGGTCTACTCACCAACTTATTTGTTAAGGTTATATTAAAATTTAAAAACCATACTGTCCGCCAAACATTAGTTACATTTTCAGCAGTTGATGCGGAGCACTTATTTGATTCGATTATTAATGAGTTTGCAGGTATCAATGGTAAATAACTATTTACTCTCACGAAGAGGCTTACATCAAGGTCACGAAACATCAGAAATACAATTTTCTACTCACTGTGATATTACAAAAAACATATTTATTAATATAATGCTTATTACGTCAGTCATATACACAGACACATGCTTTTTTTACATGAAACTTACCTCAATGAGGGCTATTGTAATAACCGAGATACATATGATTAGGAAATTATGCATAATATTGTCAATTCTTTCTTTACAACCCTAGAGATTAAACAAAAAGAACAGATCATTTGGCTGTAAATAAAATCTGAATCAATAATCATGATAATAAAAGGTATTCATCTATCCATTACAAGTTTAAGTATACTCGACTTCCGGACAACACTGGTTTCATGTGAGGACTACAAATACGAATACTCAGTTGGTCAGACTCAAGTACTGGAAATAAAGTATCAACTGTTGTGGTGCACCAATTGAAAGCCGATTACGTTAATCGCTAAGTCATTTCAAACACAATCACAAACCATTTAAAAGGGAAGGATGAAAGAATGGTTAAAAATCCAAGGGTTTAATGGGGGACTTGCCCATTCTTAGACACTATTAATTAACATGTCAACGAGCAGGCTGAGGTCACTTTAATACACCTCCTATTCAGGCAGGCACACGATATCTGAGGTGTATTTTATCTACGATAACTGAAAACTGATTAGAATAAACGTGTTGCATTATCAATAGGTCAACTATTCGTTGCTAATATTTGGAAGATTTCACAAAACAAACAAACGGATAGTGGCAAGTGAAAATTTTGAGTGGATTTTCTACAGTAAACCAACGACACGTTAAGAAAAATAAAATGCATGTCCAAAGTGGATGCATATATGAACATACATATCCTGAGACTAGTCGTCTGTTTAACAAATACAGTTTAAGATGTGCATATGATGTATATTGTTAAACCATTCTACATATTGACACACATTTATAGATACAAAATGTATGAATTTTATAAAAATAAATGAAATATTCTGAAATTTATAGAGCTAGACAACTAATGCTTACTTACCGTCTGAAAACTGAGCAAAGCGAAATCCATAGCACATTGATCATTTAAACAACAAGAAGGGACTTTAGCAATACCATAGTCTGTAGGTCCATTGTAACCGCAACATTGGAACTAGACAGAAAAATTCAAGCATACATACATATTCTGATATTTTTTAACACATACAACTCGATAAGTACATATTCTTGGAAAAAAATCGCAGTCACATACTTAAGTGGATTGGTTAGTTATAAAGGTAACAAACTATGTGAAATGTGCTTTCGCTTCCTTTGGTAACTTCACATGATAAAATGGTAGTGCAAGGGGCAAACCAATTAGAATTGGGAATACAACCTTTAAGTTTTAGGCAAAATTTCAAAAATGAATGAATTCTGCCATATATAGCGTAACACGAGTAGGAGAAATACTTTTGTGTGACGATCAGAACTTTTAAAGTTATAACGAAAAATTATTTTGTTGTCAGAGTGAAAATTAGTGTGAAATACATAAAATACTTAACCAGACCACCTGGTAGGGATCTGTGGGATTATCGTAACCAAGGGTTAGGGCGTTCAACTTTCATTCATTGAGTCCCAGATAAAAAACCCACGGTCTACTTCGATTTGAGCAACCGGGTAGTATTTTTGGCCCTCAGACTGGATACTCCTCACACTTAAGTACCTCAGTGTTTTATCTTAGAATAATTAGCAATGGCTTAAGTGCGTTCACTCTTTATCTTCCCTTACATCCTGAGTCCCAAAATCTCCTTATATTTGAGACTTGAGAAGTTGGATGTTATTTAATTTAATTTACAGACAAGAAAACCTGGAGACTTTAATAGATTTACTAATTGCATGAAGCTTTTTTAATGTTGTTCTTTTCCATAAACCATTCATTTACAATGGGTTAAAATTCTTCGTGGTTGTTTTAATAATCGCTCAATCGCGCCTTACACTTGCCCTTCAGATAGCAAAAATACCAAGTAAACCGCAGAACGTCTCAGATTTACTTCGTTCAATCGTCAATTAAGATCTAATTTCTACGTTTATATTCATCACATTCATCTACTTTGAACGTACTTCGGCCGATGCTGATGAAGTATTTAAACTAAACACAAAAAGTACGACTTAACAGTACAATTCAAAACACTAAGACATCTATATTTTAGTAGTCAGCACCTGAATAAATGAAACACGTCTTTGTGATCGATGTGTAGAAAAACATAGTTTTTCGTTCAAGCTATGTAGCATGTAAACGTTAAAAAAAGGCCTAAACAGATTATTAAAAATATTAAATTAATTTCATTGCCAAGAAACTTATGCTCAACTCGAGTTCCACATACTTCAAAGATAGGGGGAAATATATTGTTACTTGGAGTGAACCTCCCCCCCCTTTTATTTTTTGTCATAGATATACTTTTAGTAATAATACTTTAGGGACTAACATACTATTTGAGACTGACTGACTTAGTGTATGAAAATGACATAGTTCTGATTGGTGAAGACGACGTCAAATGCAGTTTTGTGAACACGTTGAGTAACAATCCAAAAATATTCGGGATATAGAGTAGGTGAAGCAGCGTTACAACATATGACTACCAAGTCACACATGTAGTTATGGAGATTAGTTGGGAAATTATGAGTCAAAACACATTTTTACAAGTACAAACAATACCATATATGTTAAAATATCATAGCAATTTATTCTTAAATGTTATGAGAGGAAACAGAAATATAGAATATCTTACCATAACATGGATTGCATCCATCCATCGAACTTCATTGTTGGAATTTTTCCAATCTTCAACACCTTCTTTAAGTGTTTCGTGGATAATTGCACGTGCCTAGTAAGGTATTGAATAAAAATGCACAAAGCAAAAATGCAACATAAAGGAATAAATTTGAAATACTTTCTGTGTAATAACTATACCACACAATGTTACGAGTTTAGTTGCATAAATTAATAGCATGATCATCTGTGTATATAATCTACCCTTCCCTAGATTTCTCAGATATTTTACTGTGTTGTGGAGTGCTGAAGCCAATTAGTATAGTATTTTGTGAATCTTTTGATGTCATTAAAAATGTTTGTCGATAGACAGTTGAAATCTTGGTGAGTTTTATTTTATTAGATACATAACCTGCACCTCATTTGCTTCATACTCCTTGCATATTTTCTAGAAAAACGAAACGCATATGATACATTCACACAAAAAAGCACATAAAATATATAATGCCACATGTAGCACATATATTACACAACAAACAAGTTGTAAGGGTTGACTTAGCCAAAAAAGCAAACTTTTGAAACATTTATTTACATTCTCACTGTTTTTGCAAAGATTTCTATGCCACTGTATTTACGTATTTTTGTATATATATGTGATAAGACAAGTCATAGGAACTTGTCGGAATATTGTGCACTGAGAATTCCATGTTGTACTAAATATATAACACTGAACAGACCCAGTATTATTACCAATAGTATTATCATAAAATTACTCAATAGGATATTTCAGTGAAATATGGATGTCATTTGAATGACAAATAGAAGCTGAAAATGGTGGTGTCATTCAACTCATTTAGCACCTGTCAGTTAGCGTAACAGAGCACAATCGGAGTGAGATGAAGCCGTTTGTTATTTAATATACAAGTTCCGGTACAACAGGGTATCGAAAAAGCATGCGACACACAAACAATACTGTAAAGATATAAACGAGAGAAGGGCCGTATGTCGTAAATTGACTTTTCCTTCTGAATCCTAGCGTCGGCAAATAATGCATGATATGAAAACCATTGGGATATGATTCGTAACAGATGACCAAACCACCAAATCCGGTGTTTTTAAAAATTGGTACCAACTGAGTTATCATCAATGAGCCCGGAACGTCCATATTACCAAAATAGTGCTGCTATTGAATGATAGCGACTGGACTACACGTATACAATTGGTTTGAACCTAGTATTTTTTAACTCCCCTGGATGCACATTTCGTATCCACCTTCGGATGTATCAGGGCATTTGGGGGCGGATCCGTTAAACTGTGAGATGACCATGTTATCATTAGTGTATCACTTTATTCCTTTAGTCACTAGTTTCTAGCTTTATGATGATTAGTGAAAATACTCGACTATCCAAATGAAAGTGTGTAGGACGGCGCTTGAATCTGTGATGCATTTACTGAAAGTCAAGTGCTTCAATTATTGTTTTAAACAAAATAACACTGAATGCTTAAGTTATCAGACAACCACTTAACAGATGGTTGTAAAACGTTAAAGATCAGACGTAGTGTGCACCAATAAAGTCAATACATCATCCCCCTAAAGCTCCGAATTCGGTTTAACAAGAGAAATAAGTAATCCATTTCTATCATTAGGCATACCACCACTACAATGCTATGAACACATTTGCGCAAGGTCCTGAGTAAAATCAACAACACTGAAAGAGCACTGGAACTGAAATGTACGTAATAGGTTAAGATTACAACTTGATAATTGCAAACCGAATAACCGAGCCATTGTGCGCTACATCCACACTATTGATGTTTAGAACTTTTTGTAAAGTATATACATTTAAATACAAATTTAAACTTACCTGTTCTCTATGGACGAACCCAGCTACGCCAATAGCAATTTCGATGGCGAAAATAACCAGTAACAGAGCAAAATAAAAGCCCAACAAACATCGACTATAGTGATATGAGCCACAACAACCTAATATTCCCAATACAAAGCTCAGAGCCCCAATAGCAGCCAGAACGATATAAGTATAAGCCAATATATTGTGCTGATCAGTACCTCTAACCCCGAACGTTGAAAAGTAGAAGTACAAAGCAGCGGATAAAACAATCATCCCTATGATCTAGAAGCAGAATAAAAATTCAACACAATAATACAGACTCTACAAAAATACCAAAAGGTTTGTTTACTATGCATTTATGTACATGAACTAATCTTACACAAAAGAACTATACATGTTTAAGCTAAAGTATTTAACTATACTATTTAACAAGCTCTGCAAGTTTGCTACTCTTCAGATTCTTATGCTCCTGAAAATCTGACCAGACCCTCTAGTTCACTAGGTTATTTATCTACAGAGAGAAGTTGGAAAACAATTGGCTTGCGAAACACAGATTTTCGGAGCGTCACATAACGTTAGGGTAATTTGCTATCAAGAACAAACAGTCAAAACACGAGTCTTTTCATTAGTTTATCCTTTCTAGCTTCTGATCAGAACAGGAAAACAAAATCACTAGATATACACTTTAGTACTTTTGAAAGCATAAATTTGCCAGTAGAAAGCTCAACATTGAGATCTGACTTCAATTTAGATGTAGTTGTATTTAGCTGTACTATTATACAATTAACCACGGTATGAGCAGTTTTAGCCAGTATACTTAGATTGCTTTGGTTCATTAAGTTAATAGTTAATCACAGAATGCTTAACAGCGAACTTATTCTAATTACTAACTTATCCCTTTAGTGGTGTGTTGAAGCAGTTATAGACTAAATGAATTATTTGTAAGGGAATAATTCGAGTCCATCACATCTCGAGAAATAAAGTTTAATAAACTTGTAAAAAATCGTAGCAGTTTAGTTTCTCCGAAGAATGGTTATTATTGGGATGACGGCCAAAATATTGTAGTGAGCGTAAACTTTAAGGGCTTTTAAAATACTAGAGTTTGGTTGGAAGTAGTGCCTTTTCGCCAAACGCTATCATGACCCACTGTAATTGAGATAAACATTTTCCACTACTTACCTAACAATTCATAAGTTAGGTTTAGTCTCGAAGCTAGCACTTAAAGACGGCAGCAACTTGAGCAAATATCCCTTAGCATTTGTGGGTTTCCTCATAAACTTTACCATAAACTCTAAGATAACTAAGAAGGTCAGTTTGAGAGAATGTTGACCAACCACTGTTAGATGATTGGGAACTTTCATCGAATAAACCTTTCCAGTTCCTTTTAGAAATCTACTGCGATCTGAAATCCCAAAACCCTAATTTACTAGATGCTACTGAAGTTTCTCAAAAGAAAACAATGCGAAAGTTTTCAATTATAAACTTAGATTCAAATCCAGATATACATAACGCCGCCTGGATGTAAATTTGAGAGACCCAAAATATCTCGCATAAGACCTTGTAAGTGGCTTCCAATGCAACCATGATTCATAAGGTATTTTTCCTTGGGACTTTTATAAAACACTATTAATGCAGTCTTGTTAAAATAAGCAATATGGTTCTGGTAGATGTCTTAATGTCGCCCACTTCCAGTAGTACCCCATTTTGGTAGATGAAAATGATCTACTTAACGATTGGTTGGGTGAAAATTAGTCTTAGAAACACGAAGGATAAGACCATAACGTATGGACAAACCAATATGACTAAGAATAGCGTGCCTTGGGTTTTGGCGAAAACCCATTTATCCATATGGCTAAGTAGCATTTGCGAATTATAGCTGACGTCAGTTCGTGGTGTAGTCCCTTATGCTAATCACAGCTACTCAGACTGATTTGCGACCCTTTTTAGCCTTGGCAAGTTGGTGCATACTTTCAAGCCTAATCAACCATCGTTCAAAATTACCCCAGGTTACAATCACACCAAAACATTTAGTTATATTAGTACATGTACATGTAAAACTTTCGGTGTACCATGCATTTGTACGAGTATGTACGCAGAGTCCCTACTGCGCAGCTGCAAGTAAGTAGTCTAAATAAGAATTCTTAAAAACCACCATATTTATCCAGACAAGATAATCAACACCAGTACCAAACCTTTTCATCCAATGTGATGTCCCCGGTACGTTAGAAAAAAGTTGACATTGAGGTCAGAATAAATTATAAGGGTTCAGAAAGGCAATATTGTGACCCTCCTAACTTAAGTTAGGATATGTTTACAAACTGAAACACTGTGGCCACAAAGGTCCTGAGTTCATTAGATCATGACTAGTTTCCAATGCCAAAAATCCCTATTTTGGGGTTCTTGAGCCATTTTCCCAAACTTTTCTATAGCGGTTTCCCCAAAATAAGATTTGGTGGTTCTAAACAATATGAACATAAGTTATTACTTGTTATAATACACTACAAAAGCACTTACTGTAAACAGGATGTTAAACACAATCATCAGCACGCGAACGCATCCTGCACAAGACTTGCACATCCTGAGGAAAAAGACTACAACGCTCAACGATCTTCCAGAATTCAAAGCAAGTACGGACCCCGGGTAAATATGTTAACGATCGTGGCTCAATGTCTTATTGACAAAGAGCCAGTCCAATATTCAATTTTAAAAGGCTAAGTTACCTACAAAATTTTAGAACCGAGTCTAAATGTGGATATACATTTGATTCTGGATGGAGGAATCAGTGTGTGTACATATATGCTTGGTTGATATATCTCACCAAGAACTAGATTCAGATTTGTGCAGTAAGGACAGAAGGCCTTCGGCCTATGTTATTCCTTATCTAGTGTGCTTCTGTAAGTGTCCAATCTTCTCTTGAAAGAGTCAATTGAAAGTGTGGACACCACTGCTTCAGGCAGCAGGTCCCAAGTACTGATGACTCGGTGTGAAAACCTGTATACCACGGGTATTTTGTTCGTTCTTGGCTTTTCTATTCGCGTGCTATGTCCTCTGAAGTGTCCCGATCTAGTGGGAAGAAAGAGAGAATAAGTTAGGTCCGAAATCATTTCTCGGTATTCTGTATATCAAAATTAGATCTCCCCTTAGTCTGAGATAGGACCGAGTAAAGAGGTTCAGTTTTTCAAGCCGCTGTTTGTATGATAAACCCCGGAGTTCCGGAATTGCACGGGTAGCTGCCCTCTGTACTTTTTCTAGTATGTCCGAGTCACCTTTTAAGCAGGGGCTTGCAGCCTGAACGCAGTTTTCTAGCCTATTTCTCACTAAGGATGTGTATGCTGTGGTAAACATGGTAGTATCTAACTTAATGAATGTCCTTTTTAAAGCCCAGAGGGTTCGAAACCCCTTAACTGCGACCTCCCGGAAATGGGGCGTCGTCTTAAGATCATTACTCACTGTCACCTTTAGATCCTTATAAGACCGGACTACGGGTAATGACACATCCCCTATGTTGTACGTATTAACCTTTGAATCCCCCAAGTGCATGTAAACACACTTTTGATAGGCACCAGCCACTCTTTAGACCAGCTTATCATATTATTTAAGTCTGCCTGAAGAGTACATGCGTCTTTGTCTCCACTTACTACTCGCCAAATTTTTACATCGTCAGCGTATAATAACATTGGAGACTGTACTATACTTGTAAGATCATTGACGTACATTATAAAAAGTAAAGGACCTGGGACGGAACCTTAAGTTACCCCACTAAGCACTGGTCTCCAGATGGAGCACCTGGAGTTTATTCTTACTTTCTGTCTACGACCTACTAAAAAAATGCTTAATCTATTTTAAAAGAGGTCCGGCAATACCAAGGTTTTCTAACTTCAACAGCAATCTATTAGTTGGCACGTTGTCAAAAGCCTTACTGAAATCTATGTAGACAACATCCACTGAGTTTCAGTTGTCTAGCGCATTAATCCAGAACTCCCTAGCTATAAGGAGGTTCGTTGTACAGGATAGACCCTTTCTAAAACCATGTTGTGCCATGTTCAGCAAGTCATTGGTTTCCATAAATGCCGTTATGGTCCGTCTGATTATTCTTTCCAGTGTTTTAATTACAACACTGGTGAGACTTACGGGTCTGTAATTCGATGGAACTTGTCGTGGACCTGTTTTATGTATGAAAGTGACGATTGCGTCCTTCCACTCCATAGGTAACACACCTTGGTCAAGTTACATATTGAATATCACAGTCAGTGGGGCCGCGATATACTGGCAATATGTCTCAAGATTTTGGGGTGTAGTTCACCTGGTCCTGTTGACTTCTCCATGTTTAGGGTGCTGAGAGCCTTAAGCACATCGTTTTGGTCGAAGTCCACGGTGAGCAGCTGGTTTGTTGACTCTGTATTTGGGTCTGGTTCTTTCTCTAGAGGAGGTTCCTCAGTGAAACTGCCCCAAAATAGTCAGCCATCGCCTCTGCTTTTTCCTGATCTTCCTCTATCATTTCAGATTCACTCCCTACTTTAATTAGGTTGGGAATCCAATGATGCATCCTTGTTCTGTAGTTTATGTACGAGAATATTCTCTTGGGCTTCCTGAGTGGAGCTTGTGCCAGCTGCATTCCATATTTTCTCTGAGCTCCCCGAATTTTTGTTATACACTCGCTTCTTGTCGATCTGTAGCGTTCCATCGTACCTGCTGTGCCAAGGCGGATGGCAACATCCCAGCATTTCTTTTTTTGTCTTAGTAAGCATCGAATATCCCGCCCTATCCAGGGATGGCCGTGCTTCTTTTTCCTTGGGACAGTCCAGGGTATGTATGGTTGAGTTACTCGATTGTATAAATGCCTGAATAGAGTCCATGCCTCTTGTACTGATGCCTTTGAGTCAATTTCCCAGTTTTCAGCCGATGCTGCGGAGTTAATTGCCTGCATACCTGCCTCCCATACGTTGGGACGGGCCGGTGCAACTGTTTGACAGGCAACCTCAGCCATGAATTTGAATAAGATGACTGCATGGTCACTGCTCATAAGTGGTGAGAGAAAAGCCATTTGACCAACGTCATCACCGTGTGTGAAGACTAAATCTAATAGAGAAGAAGAGTTTCTTAAGTCGTATCTTGTGGGATCTCTAATGTGTTGGAATAATGCTAGTCCAATCGAGGTTTCTAACGACGATATCGACGACCCTACTTCTAAGTTAACCCAGTTTATATATGGTGCATTAAAGTCGCCTAATACAAGACTTTTACCGTTGTTACACCAGGACTTAAGTTTACTTAGGAGAAAATCATCTGCTACACATTCTGGACTGCGATATACTACAACTACTTCAACATCTTGCTGTCGGCATTTCAACTTACATCTCACCAGTTCACATGTCCCTGAAACATGTGCTACTGTCTCAGCTAATCTTATGGTTAGAGTACTTTTCGTGTACAGAATAACCCCGCCTCCCCTCCGGTTTAATCTATCAGCCCTACTGGTTATGAAACCAGTCAACTCGACTTCACTATCTACTACTTCTGACGTTAACCAAGTTTCCGAGACAGCAATAACGTTCAATTTTTCTTTATCCACTACTGACTTGAGCTCAGCCATTTTATTTAGAAGACTGCGAGCATTTGTGTAGTATACCTTTAAGTCTGTGGAGAGCTTTCCCTTGCCACTTAGAGTGGCTTGGGGATCGTTTTGCTCCGAACTTTTACAATTTGAAATCCCTTAAGAACGAGGTTTCTTCCACCGTTTTGGCGACGCTCGTTTATTTCCGCTTCTGAAGCTCGTCTCTTAATACGATCAGCTAGGCTGAGATCCTCACGGACATATATTCCGGATCCAATCAGTTTACGTGATTTACTTAGAATCAGGTTCCTTTCTTCCACCGTGTTGAATGTAACCTTTAGTGGGCGGTTTTTCTGAGGACTTTCGGAATCAACCCTTTTTTCCTATTCTATAAAGCTTACAAATACTAACTCCTGAAACTGTATCTGGGAGTAGTTTACTTAATGATGTCTCAATATGATTAAGATCGTATTCAAATCTTGCCTTTGGTTCTGTACCTGAAGATTCTCTTACTTTATGAAAAATGACTGATCTCTCAGAGAGATCTGTCTTGTCACGCAGTGAGGATTTTTCTTCTGATAACATCCCTTCCAATGCCTTGCTGACCAGCTGCGTTTTGCCCACAGTCTTTTTCTCCCCATTTATTTTTCTCCCTACTGAAGTCCATTTGTCACCACTCGGGACAGCCACACCTGGACTATGTGGAACGGTGATAGTTTTATCCGGATCTTCTATTTCGACTAGAGGTGTATGACTGCCGATGTCAATATCAAGCAACACTTCATTCCTCGTTAATGTCAACGGAGACTTCACGTTCTCGTCAACCTCAATCAGGTGTTTAACGGGTCCAGTAGCAGCACTTACTCCACTGACACATTTGTAGCGTGGCGTCGAGTTGAAATTAACTATGAACACCGCTACCAAGAAACACGTGCCAAAATAGATCAGAAGGCGTAAGAAGCTCGTTCCAAATGACTCCATAAAATCCCCGAGAAGCCGAATATCAGAAGACAGTTAATGGACCAAGTCGAGGTTTATTAGCTGGCGATCTCGTGGCATCGAAAGGATACCGAGATCGTGCCAGGATACAAACTTGGTTACAGAACGTAACCGAATTCGCGCGAAGTTACAATCAAAGTGTAAGCGAAAGAATGGAAGCACAAAATAGCTGTCATTAGCACAGTCAAACAAAAGCACATTAAAACAAACACTGGTACAGTTGGTTATAATAATAATTGTTTTTATTAAACCAGTCGTGTTCTCGTGATAAACGTGAGTCACTACAGGAGCCCCCCGCTAGAAAGGGTTTACACTTTCGATAAACAGCGGTTTGAATCGTGGGACTGATCAGCTGACGAGCGATTGTAGGACGGAAGAATTGGCGAACAGGAAAGCGATCGTTGATCGTCGAGTTGCCAACGAAAGTCGTTTTCGGAGAACAGTACCAGGAGCGATGTGTTGTATTTACTGCTCGAATTGGCATGCTACACCAGAGTGGTTAGTATCCAGAATCTAAAGAGGGCGTTCGTAGAGGTGCGCACCAGAAACGCTGCAGACGTAGGACGAAACCACGTTGAGCCAAAAGACCAGAAGCGACCGTAACGACCAAGTTCGAGACCAAGCGTGTGCCAAGCATTCGAAACCAATATATCGACTGAGTACGTTGACAAGAGCGTGGGTGGCCAATCCAGCTTTCGCCAAAGTTGACTGAAGTCGACGGAACCAAACGGAGATGGTCGAAGGCGTGGGCTCAGGAAACAAAAAGAAAATCAAAAAAGAAGAGTGTAGCATACAAGTAGCATAGGAATATTCCTACACCGTATCGGTTGTTGACTGTGCGGCTAGTCGCGGAAGCGTACGGGTAACCGTACTCGGCGACCGGAACGTGAGACGGCAGTCTCGTTCGTATTTCGTGAGCCTGCAATCTCATCCGAGGTCAGAGGCGGCGTGGTCTGCTGATCTGGACGTGAGACTGTCGTCTCGTCCGTAGAGGGTGCAGATGACGCGTGCTGTTGACCGGGACGTGAGAATGAGGTCTCAGATACATCTAGCGTGGGACCTGAAGAAGATTTAAGGATCCCGCTAG